CTACCTAGTTTGGGGGGTTGTTTAATGAACGTTCTGGAGGAGAGGCCCTAAATATGTCTCAGTTTCACTTCCCGCAGCTGGCTGCATGTTGGCAGTGAAAGGCCATCGGGCAGACATGGTCTTCCGCGCCCGTTTCATGGAGCAACTTGCGTGAGATCTTTTGAAAGTATGGGCTGCGGCGAACTATTGCTTCAAGACTCTTAGGTCATAGGGGGCTTGAATCAAGACGCCTTTCTAGCTTTGAGTTTGCCATGCTGCAACCTTCAGTCGCCCATCAATTTGCCGCTTCAGATTCCTGGGAGCCTTTGTCTTTCGGCTGAAATGGAGCCATCGCCACGGAGCGATCGGTTCGGCTGGCCGGGCAAAAAGCTCCAATGCGAGCTTACGCTCCTGGAATTCTTCGCATTGGTCGGACCTTGGGGAGCATGCGAGCAATCCTCCGACTGATTTTGTTTTTTCCCCGGTGCTTGGGCATTGCCCTCGTTTTGCGCTTCAGACTGAGTGTTGCCGGAAGATTGCTTGCTAGTCTTGTTCGTACTTGTTGTACTTGTCATCATTAGCATCATCGGAAGCATTAGAAAGCATCAGCAGAATGAACAGCAGCAGTTGACACAAAGCAACATGAAAGGACATGGGAAGCAGAATCACGGCGAGTCCAAGTGCGAGCACAAGTGGCCACCACTATCAAGCTTTGGATATTGCGCTCCAAAAGTACTTGATTAGTAGCGTTTTTAGAAAGCCACAATTGTGATACACCACAGGCCCTCACCTGCCCACCAACTCATCGCTCCCAAGCAACAAAGGTACGAGGCTGGATGATGGCGTGACGATTGCTCGCGCTGGTGCCCCCAAAACGTACGGGTCGTCGAATTTGCACAAGGGCGCCAAAAGTCGCCTGTAAAGTAGAGGTGCGGTTGGGGGCCACAGGGACCAACTCGCAAAGTCAAAGGTGGAGTTGCGCAGTTGGATCCAACTGACCTCCTCTCAAGAGGTTTCTGGGCCCCAACGGTTGTGTGGCCGTGGGGATGAACCACTGGTGCTTGACAACCAATTCAGTTTTACTCCAGGAGTTGCTAAGGCTGAAGATGTGTAGTTGGGTGCACCTTGGGGGAATTGCTGGCCAGTTCCGAGCCATAAAGCATGCCTACTGCTGTTCCTGTTGTCTTTTCAGGTGAGTTGCGATGAGGCGTAGTGATACTCAACAAGTATGATTCTGCCAAAGCCTCACATGCAAGCATGATGAACTCTATTGTTCGAAGCATGCAGAAGACGATGATGGTGGCCAGGAAACAGCTTAAGTACAGTCATGAAAGTTCAGACCCAGCCATGGCGAAGAGCAAATGCCTTCGAAGTTGAGCTTCCAGGGAAGGCTTTGAGGATACAAATCGACCACTTGACGAGGCAACTCTGCCTGGAATTGTGGGTTCCTGCGGTGCGTGGCCAGATGTTGAGCTGCAAGAGACACGCTGCACGATGCGTGGATCGACTGGGGCCAGCCATGAATCCATTGCCAGCGGACCGTTGTATCAGATTTGTCAGCGCTGAGGAATGTGCATTTCGGCATGTGCTTTTGAGGGTACTATGGGTACTCTTTTCCATTGTTGGTTCAAGCAGAAAATGAGCAGGAAAACTATCATTGTCTTGGTCTACTAATTTTAGTGCCTCCGGCTCAGGCCGCCGACATTACAGGCCTGCTTTCTTATTTGCGTCCCTTTGGAATTGTCCCCTTGCCCCCTTCCCCTCTGAGATTTTTGCCCCCCTTTCTTTGTTGAGATCCATTCCCCCTTTCCGCCCGAAGGCCTTTTCTCCCTCTGTTTTTTTCCCTTTTCCTCCCTAAGATGTTTTCACCCCTCTCCCTGTTGAGATCCTTTCCCCCCTTTCCCCCCTAAGGCCTTTTCCCCCCTGAGATCTTCTCCCTTTGCCTCCCTAAGATCTCCCAGATCGTCTCCCTTTCAGGGAGAAGATCTGGGAGAAAAGGACTTAGGGGGGAAAGCCCAACAGGGAAAGGGGGGAAAAGATTTAGGAAGGAAAAGGGAGAAGCTCTCAGGGGGGGGAAAGGCCTTAGGGGGGAAAGGGGGAAAAGGATCTCAGCGGGGGGGGGGGGGAAGATCTTAGGGAGGAAAGGGAGAAGATCTGGGGACAAAGGCCTTAGGGGGGAAAGGGGAGAAATGATCTCAACAGGGAAAGGGGTGGAAAAGATCTTAGGGCGGAAAGGGAGAAGATCTGGGAGAAAAAAGGCCAACAGGGAAAGGGGGGAAAGACCTAAGGAAGGAAAAGGGAGAAGCTCTCAGGGGGGGGAAAGGCCTGAGGGGGGAAAGGGTGGGAAGGATCTCAACAGGGAAAGGGGGGAAACAATCTTAGGAAGGAAAGGGAGAAGATCTGGAAAGGCCTTAAAGGGAAGGGGGGAAAGGATCTCAACAGGGAAAGGGGGCAAAGGATCTTAAGGAGGAATAGGAAGAAGATCTCAGCGGGGGGAAAGGCCGTAGGGGGGAAAGAGGGGAAAGGATCTCAACAGGGAAAGGGGGGGAAAGATCTCAGTGAAAAAGGGAGAAGGTCCCAGGCAGGGAAAAGGCCTTAGGGGGGAAAGGGGGAAAGGATCTCAACAGGGACAGGGGGCAAAGGATCTTAGGGAGGAAAAGGGAGAAGATCTGAAAAGGCTTAGGGGGAAAAGGGGGAAAGGAGCTCAACAGGGAAAGGTGGGAGAAGATCCTAGGGAGGAAAAGGGAGAAGATCTCGGGGGAAAAGATCTTGGGGAGGACAAGGGAGAAGATCTCAGGGGGGGGAAGGCCTTAGGGGGGAAAGGGGGGAAAGGATCTCAACAGGGAAAGGGGGCAAAGGATCTTAGGGAGGAAAAGGGAGAAGATCTTGGGGGGGAAAACGCCTTAGGGGGGAAAGGGCGGGAAAGGATCTCAACAAGGAAAGGGAGGAAAAGATCTTAGGCAGGAAAAGGGGGAAGATCGCAGGGGGAAAAAAGGCCTTAGGGGGGAAAGGAGGGAAAGGATCTCAACAGGGAGAGGGGGGAAAACATCGTGGGGAGGAAAAGGGAAAAACTCAGAGGGCTCTCAGGGGGGGAAAGGCCTCAGGGAAAAAGGGTGGGAAGGATCTCAACAGGGAAAGGGGGGAAACAATCTTAGGAAGGAAAGGGGGGGGGAAGATCTTAGGGAGGAAATGGAGAAGATCTGGGAGAAAAGGACTTAGGGGGGGAAGCCCAACAGGGAAAGGGGAAAAAATGCCTTAAGGGGGAAAGGGGGGAAAAGATCTTTGGGAGGAAAAGGGAAATCTTTCTCGGGGGGAACAGGCCCTAAGGGGCAATCGGGGGACAGGATCTCAATCGGGAAAGAGAGAAAAACACTTTGGGAAGAGAAGGGTGGAGATCTTGGGGGAAAAGGCCTTAGGGGGGAAACGGGGGCAAGGATCTTAAGCGGGAAAGGGGGGAAGAGATCTTAGGGAGGCAAAGGGAGACGAACTCAGGGAAAAGGACTTAGGGAGGAAAGGGGGGGAAAGATCTTTGGGAGGAAAAGGGAGAAGAACTGAGGGTGGGAAAAGGCCTTAGAAGGAAAAGGGGGGAAATAAATGATCTCAACAAGGAACTGGGGGGGGGTTCACCAGCATAGGCAACATCCCCAGCATCACTTGCATCATCCGCATCCTTGGCAGGCGCTGATGCGGATGATGCAGGTGATGCTGGCGATGTGCCGCTGGAGCTGTTAAGGATGCGAAAGTGCACCCGGGGGGAATCGAACACCCCAATGTTTTTGACATGCAAGCCTGCACAATGAACAGATTTAGTGAAGCGTCTTCGAATCACCGCGTGGTACGTGGACCCCCCCCCCCCCCGCAATAGTCCGAAATGTCTGCCCCTGGGGAGGGGTTAGGGGAGGGGTAACAGGTAAAGAGGTAAGGAGCATTTCTTATGTCCAACACGCCGCCTGTTGTCGGCGGATTTTGACAGATTGACATCCCCGATCACATCGTTGACTCCATCACATCCATCGCAGCCACATCTCTTCTGAGATATGGCCTGGTCACTAGTTGCGCATTCGCATCGCTACCTACGCTTACTCGCATTCTTGCACGATAAGAAGTTTAACGCCACATTCAAGCTAATGTGGGCTTGTCTCAAAATAGGGGACCTCCCACAATCCAGACCAACAGACCCATTGATTTGTATACCAAGGGCCTTTGGGACATTGCTCAGGCTCCGGCGGTCCGCACGGGTTTCTATCCGCGCCCGCGTCACGAGCACCCGCCTCGGGAAAAGAACAGGAGCGGATGGGTTTCTCAGGGAAGGCCGAAGTGGGTTTGCGCTCATGGACAAGTGAGCCACAATCAAAACCCGGGCAGATGAAGGTTAGTAAGGGGCAGTCCCAGCCAGAAATAGTTGCGGCCGCCTTCTTAATTCTTTACATGGTTCTGGGTAGACCCTTTTAATACCGGGTTTTGATTGTGACTCAAGTGAATGTGCCAACTCAGCCTTCGAGCTGCGTGTTCGGCTTTTTCAGATTGAAGGTGAATCAAGCACGGGAGTTGAGCCGAACAGATTGCAGGTCTTCTCACATCTCCCAAAACTATTCGTGGGCTTCAAGTCCTTCCGACTTGGAAAAAAGGCCAGTTGGAAGGGTTCCGATTCCCCAGTCGTGTTGCGACTGCGGAAGGTGAAGGTCGCCCCTTTTTTCAGAGTTAGAGGAAGTGCAAGTCGGTGAAGACGCTAAATCTCAGGTGTCAGAATGCATATCTCTGGGCAAGCTAGGAACAAAAGGTTTTGCGACTGCACCCTTTCACAGGGAGTCCTTATTTCCGGTTTGGCCATCTATTCTATCATTTGCCCCGCAGTTGCAACCGATCCACCCTTTGCGATCATCCAACCTGTGGCATTGTTTTGTTTCACCCACTGATATTTGATAGTTTTTTGTTTTTGTTTTTTTGTTAAGAGCTCCTTCGGTGGCATCAACTTTCGGCCGGTGCGTAGATCTTCGGTTGAGACACGAAGCGAATGGCAGGTGCTGGCGCGGCGAGGCTTCATGAGGTACTTGTACCGGGAGGTGTGGATCGAGGAATCAAGCGATTGGCCGGCGACTTCGCATTCCAGTTGCGCCCCAAGGGTGCTGAAGTAGACGTTTGAGAAGAGGTTTCAATTGGCTTCAGGGTTTTTTCAGGTTTTTTTGGTTGGTTAGCAGGTTTAGGTGGGGGGGGGGTCCAGGTTTAGGTGGGGGGGGTATCTGAAAACGGAGAGCCCAGGTTGGACAGTGGCAATGGTTTCGGATTTCACGGGCAGGTGTTGATTCTGACTTCGATACAGATCTAGGTCATGTGTTTCGGAGATGGATTTGTCTTTTCATTAAAGAGAGTCTCTGCGCCTTCAGGGAGTCAGGTTTTTTGAAGCGTGCCGGTTGCGAAGTGTTTCTGGGGGTTTGGTCAGGTGCTTCAGGTGTACCCCATTTGAACGGCCCGCTGAAGATTCGTCCGACGCGCATTCGTGTCTGAAACGAGCATGATGTACTTCACACATCGAACAAGGTTGGTGGACATCGGCATGTAGCTGATGTCCAAGGAAAGGCCCACAATCAATATCATATACCTATATCAGGCGAGTGCAAGCGCTTCCTTGAGTCATTCTCATTCTCCAACTCGGCAGCCAAGAGTGTTTGAAACTCGGACCCCGCCTCCTTATTAACCACCCAAACAGGCTTTATTGTTGAATTCTTGAGATCCGCGATGCTGGCCCCGGACAAAACTGTTTATTTCCACAGGACAGGAAAAAAATGTGTTGTCTCCCTGCTGCTTGTGGGAAATATGGGTTGGCTTTTGGGTCCTTCCCAAAGCAACAGTATGTTGTCGGCTCGCATGGATGGACCAGCCAGGATCCATTCGGTTCTTTGGTTTCCCAATGCCAGGCCCATGCACTCGCTACAAAGACGGGATCGGCTCCGGCTGGAAGCTAAGAGCGCACCAAGCTCAGGCTCAATTTGCCCAGAAAGGCAGGTAAGGTTGCAATGGTCCCGATGTGCTTTTCTGCTTGGGGAATAGTCTTACCATGCATATGGCACCCAGAACAACCATTGTAGCAGAAACATGCCCCGCAAAAGAAACCTCCCGATGTGAGTTCAGACTTGGGTACTGAAGTACAGTTTATGACCGCGTGGCGCCTTGGTTGAAGTATGCTTTGGCAATTCGGTGACTCAGCTGTTGCCAACTGCTATAATGTCGCGCAAGCTCATGAGAGCATGCCTGCGACCAGGACGAAAAGTCATGTGCCCCTCGAGCAGGTATCTTGATACGTACTCTGCATACACGGTGCCTGTATAAATACTCAAATTAAAGGTGTATACAAGCTGAATACATATCAGGGGTACCTTAAAATATCCCCTCCGTCCCGAATATGCATTGAGACAATGAGACAAAGGGTTGCACAGTGCAGCTGGCACTACCGATCACATGCTTGGCCTTTGCATTTCAGCTTGAGTGTTTTTGTGTGATTGCCGTCCTCTTCAGGCAGAGAAAAAAAAAAAAAAAAAAACTTGACAGAGCAACCTCAGGCACGGCTGCTCCAAGCTGGGGACACGAAGCTGGAAATGCAGCAGGCGCTATGGAGAGAAGCTCAGGGAGAGCGACGCATCAAAGACGAAACCAGCGGGGAACTGTTGCCAATATCTTTAAACACATGCGCAACGTGGTTGACCTGAGGATCCTTTTTGAAGGCAAAACCATCCACTTGTTGCTGACCATGACTCCTCTCCTAACTGTGACTCCTTCTCTGGGCCTTGCCTTCTCATATGGGGCTCCGAAATCGGTTCTCTCCAGGCCCCCAACCCCCATCAACGGATGAGGGCTTCTCTCTCCGCTTCATGCCCCCGGCCCGACGCCAGAATCTGGCGCTGCATCTCTATGTGAGCACTGCGCTGGGGCCCTCGGTCCGCTTCGTGGGTAACCGGAGGTAACCGGAGGTGAAGCTTCAGGCAAGAAACTGCTCCGGAGATATTGGCCTGGATATGTTCCCTATGAATTCGGGGAGACCATTCTAGGGTTTTGGTGACTGCTCCCACTGGGCAAACAAAAAGAGACTCGCGAGCCCAAGATTGCGCGTGGGCTCCAAGGCAGTTTCCCAACAAATGTCCACCTGTTGGTTTCCATGCAAGCCGGGTATTGGAAGCTGGTAGTCAGGGGCAACCAGGGGTGGTTTCTTAGATTGATTTGGGTCCTTGGTTCATCCCGCTGAGTTTCTGGTGCCTGGACCCACGGTCATGAGTGAGTCAGCAGGATGAAGTTGGCACCCTTGAAAAACGGATTGCGTAGAGTCAGGTTGGGTAGGGCTAGTTGCTGACCCAGGGCCACTCAGTGTTGCAAGTGAATCCCGTTGCCGAATAGAACTCGTTGGACATCTTGCATGAAAGCATGAAATGCTTGTGTGTGTGTGTGTGTCAAAACTAGGGTCCCGCCAAACTGACACTTTCCCTTTTGACGTCCCTTTCACAATCTCTGGGGACACCCACAGGCACTTGAACAGGGCCATTTCCGGCTTTCCGACATTCGCAAAGCATTTGAGTGGAGTGCGTTGTCCTTTTAGGGCAGCTTCTTTATGCACGATTGAATCCACTTGGTTTCAGTTCTTCTCATTGAGCATGTCTAAGCCCATGTGTACCTCCAGGATTGGCTGCCCCAGTCCACCATAAAACCAGCATATGTTTTTTGTAAGTGGTGAACGCTGGGGAGGAAAGTTGGTTCGAGTTTCTGTCCAAGGCCTTGCGGGTGGGCAAGTTGTCGCCAAGCAGAGGCCGGAAGCGGAGGTCGGAAGCAGAGCCATTTTGTTCAAAATTCTGCCAGGCTCAAGTGACCTTGTTGCTCTTAAGCCTTTCAGGTTCCTTCATTCCTCCGTTTTAACCGCAAAACTTCAGCGTAGGTCGAGGCCCTTCGAAGCCAATTTGAGTCCCGAGCAGATCTCAGTTCCAGAGAGAGGCCCAGGAGGTTTTTCTCGGGTGAGTCAGCTCAGTACTTTGATGCTCTGTACTATGCCCTCCCTGGATGGCATGGGAATGTCGGGGAAGCCGGGCTGGGGCTTTGCCCAGGTCAGAGCTACGGCCATAGTCTAAGGGCAACGGGCCGAGACCAGGTGAAGCTCGCTTCAGGGCAGCTGGCAGGTGGCTGCGGCCAGGCTCAAGCGGAAGGCTAGCCGCAGTCCAAGGGCAAGGGGCCAGCCGTGTGGCCCGCGGTCAGAGTGGGGCTGGGAAGGGCTCGGCCAGAAAGTGGGGGTTGGGGAAGCTGCGTGCGTGCTCAAGAACAGAAGCCTGTGCTGAGTCAGCTCAGAGGCACAGGGGCAGCGGCGTGTCACAGAGCTTTCCTTGATTGAAGAAGGTGCTGGCCCAACCGACTGAAAAATATCCGCGACTGGGCTGGAGCTGCGTGTCAGGGAGTTTCATGTCTGCCGTGGTTTGCCCATGGAAGGAACATATGAGCCAATTTTTGATCGAGAGTCTGTGATTGACAAGCCACGAACAGGGGAGAAATATCACGCAGACACAAACTGTCTGGGGCTCCTTTCAGCATCCTGCTTTCTCCCTTGAATCTCCCAACTTGGCTTTCAACTGATGCGAGAAGGGCCTGCTTCCAAAACCGCTCAATTTGGAGGATCTTCCAAGTTTGGTTAATGCAGAGCGACTTGTTTTGGGCAAGGTTGGAAGGGTGAACTGACGATCTTGCCCGGCTTAGCGCCCGATTCAAGAAACCTCAATGTTGACCAGGTCCCTCCAGTTGGAGATGCCTACTCAGGCTACTCCTTCAATCACATAGTGAGATGGGGATTGCTGATCCAAGCTCGACCAGTTGCATTTTTTTGAAGCCTCTTTTTCTCTCGCTTGGGAGGCCTCCCATTTCTTGGCCAAAGGCTCGGGGGACAAGGAGGCGGGGTTCCGACAGCTGGGCTGAACCAATTTTCGAGGGCAATTCCTGGAGTCAACTCCAGCTCCACCTTGTCCCCGAGTTCGGCCATGTTCTGAAATCTATGGTTCATTCAGGCGGGCTCACTCAGTTTCACGTAAATACCAGGGGGCTCTCTAGAATATCCCCGCAACTGTTACCCCCCCAATGCATCCAGTAGAGCCGCTAGCTTCCTTTTTGAGAAGGGGATTGCCCTTAGAGTCTAAACCAAGAAGAGTCAGCTTCCCCAAACCGGGTGGCTCTCCAAAATTACACTTCGCCAAAATCATGGTTCTTGTTGGGAAATGTCTTTTACACTTTTGCTTATTGTGGTTTAGTGGTTGAAATCCAACCACTGAACTGCTAAAATTTTGAAAATTGTTGCTCCCAAACCCAACGTCAAAACAAGACATGTCTTCTTCCAAAATCCCGATGTTTTGTCGACCGGAAGTGGGTCGTAGTACACGGGGCTAAAGAACTGACTGGGGGTTTGGAGTGCCTTAACACCAAACTAATTTTTAAGCATAAAAACCTCAAATGGCTAATACTTGTAGCCCCTCATGTTACGCTCTTGCTGTTGGGGAAGGACAACAACTTGCATACTGCTGTCGGCATGGGCGAGGTCTCTAGCACAATGATCAATATGTGGTGACGTGATCTTCGCACTACCTGAGTTCCTGGGACGTTGTACCCTTTTGGGAACATCATGATGGCAAAGAATCAAGTTGTGGTTTATTTGGCGAATCCACTCAGGAAGCGAGTCTTGGCAAGACCTTTTGGGGAGCAATTCTTTTGGAGATCAATAATTTCTGGCGAGCATTGGCAATTCATCCAGGTTATGAAGAGCCGCCATCTGCCAGGCGCCTGCTGGATGCGTGGGAGCCAGAAACTCACGAGGTCCAGACGTCCGTTGAGAGGGCTCAACTTCAGCAGCATCCTTTGCCTGGATTGTTGTTGCCGGTTGATGTTGGACGTTCCTTCCACTTGCGCATTGATCAATCGCAACTTCGCCCTAGCAAACGCTTGTTTTGGAAGCAGCAGTTTGGTGCCATTGACTTGAGCAGTGTGATTGGCTGGTCATGGTCAAAGCGGACTGATCAACAAGGCTGTCGACGAGTTTGCGCCTTGTGATTTGGCTGGCAACGAGTAGGTCTGTGCCGCGTTTCTTTGCAGACTCAGCCCTCGGCTTCGGTTGTGTTGCAATTCTGTTCAGGTTTACACTCAGGATGTACACACCTTAAATCGTTAAATGGCCTCCGCTTGAGACGGTAATGTAATATACGGAGCTTTCCCATCTCAATGTTGACACTTGAGAATACTTCCCAGCACGCAGTCTGACTAATCAAGACACGACTACTGAAATCAATTGCAAGTGCGCCTCCGGCTAGAGGTCGCAGGCCACTTCAGTGAGAGCGGAGTCGCTGTGTGGTGTTTGCCATCAATTTATTGTCCGCTTCACAAGCGGTGGCTTTGCATTTGACCTACGTGAGATTATGCATTTCACAGGCCGTTTTAACGTGTAGATGGAAGCAACGGCGAACAGGTGTTGGTCTTGGTTTTGCGCCTCGGTTTTCAGCGGGGCTTCGAAGGCTTGTCAGTTGGCGCTTCGGATCGAGTGCAGTTCCGCAGTTGGCTCAGAGCGTGCTGCTGTAGTCAGTCTGAAGAACCTTCGTACATTTTATGCATATTCTGCTCCAGGCGCTCAGATGAGCAACTGGACTGCAAGGATTGACAGGTTGTCACCAACTGCGTAGCGGCAGCCCATGTTGAAGGTTCAACTTGGGTGATGTTTGAAAGTTCCTTTCAAGGTTCCTTTTTGAAAGTGGCGGTTTGTTCTGATCGGCACAGATGTGCCGCAATCGAACAAAGATGTCTTGAACAGGCCTCCAAGAGCAGCTCTCAAATCCAAAGCCTATTTGCGATTGGGGCCATGTTCACTGGATTGCGGCCGAGTCAAAAGATGGCCAGGTGTTGGCGGCTTATGAGTTTGGTTCTTAGGATTCATTTTCCACTTTGGGTATCCGTTACAAGCGCTCCTTATCCAAATCCCCTGTGAGACACTGCTGCTGTTTGATTCTAAGAAGCCGTGAATGACTTCTGTGCACAACAAGAAACAAGGGGCAGTGGGATGAGCATACAAAGCTTGCACGTATGCCTATTGGAGAGACAGGGAGAGATAGACTTTCCGTTTCCAGCACTTTAGAAAAGGTACGGGAAGGTAATGGTTGTTGATCGATTTGCAAAGGAGAGACGTAATCAGCACTCAACGGCTTGTGCTACCCCGCCCCCCCCAATCCCTATTAATAGAACACACGATTGCCGTTGAGTTCCTCTCAAACCAATTTCAATTGAGCAGAGTTTATTTGTAGCGGCTGGAGCCGCGTAGGCTGGAAAATTGGTTCCTCGCAGTTCCCCTTTTTATGTACCTAAAAAGAACTCTGCTCAATGTCTCAAAGGACCCCTTCAGCTGGTTTCAACCCCGGGCGAGCACAGACCGTGTTGGAGAGGAGACAAGCTGGTCACCCTTAGCTTCTTGGAAGACGTAGATGCAAAAGATTTCGCATACGCCCAGGCAGGCGAGGCTGTGAAGAGAGGGGGCTGTACCGTCTGTGGATAAGCTTCACGTCTCGCACGACAAATTCTATCCTGCGAAGCATGTCCACTTTGATTTTGGACAAGGGGTAGAATTCCAACCGAACAAAAGGCACATCCTCCCGCCCCCCTCTTGTCAAGGGAAATCCACCACAAATCTATCTTAAAGACAACTGCACCAAAACCCTGGTTTCAAGGTGCCTTTTCCCACAAACACCACAGGGCCTTTTTTTCCAACCAAACAAATCCACCGAACTTTTTGGGGGGATGTGCTTCACAAATCGGGCATTTCCTCAGGCCATGTCGCAGTGCTTCTGTCCGGGGGCCCAGGGGAAACCATCAGGAAGAAACAGCAGCTGACGGATGGCTTGGATCGGTTGCCTCAAGATGGGGTTTTGCAAATTTATGACCCTCCCACGAATTAACGTGGAACCTGACACGAATTCCCTTTAAAAGGAAATGGTCCAAACTAGGCCCCCCCCCCCCCCCTGGCAGGTTTCATGTTAATTAATTGGTGGGAGGGTACCTGTTTTCTTACGCAACGCGAACCATGCAGAAAACTAAACAGTGTCCGGATGGGAAGCCTGGAAAGGGAACTACTGCACGTGGCTGGAAATGAGATCCATCCAAGACGCCCAGAAAGGTAGGGGTCAGTTGGGGTATGCGGCAACACATTCTGCCAGGTGGGTGCAAAACTTCGTGGTGCACGTTCTCTGGGATTTTTTGCAACATCAACCAAGTCGCCACCTCCCCCCCAATAAGCAGTTCAAATGTGGACCGATGATCGTTACTTCGGGATTCCTTGGACAGAGGAGATGTGTTTCGTGCTTTTGATAATTGAGATGCTTAAGTGGACTCAAGTGCCGGTTGGCAGCTACTTCCTTTCAAAACAACTAGGAATTTGAAAGGGGAGTCCCCCAAAACAGAAAGATTCCTTTGGAGCCCCCCAAAAAAGCGATTCCTCTAAATATGCTGATTTCCTGGGTTCCTGACAGCCATTGCAGAGTGAAATCGCGTGGCAGGCTCAGCTTGCATGGAGATTCGGTAGATGTCAGGTCGAGCCCAGTCAAAGAATGACCATAGAGCAGTTGCTCTCGCCGGGCTTCAGTTGAGCAAATCCCAGCAATGCGAGCCTGTCCGGCCCACAGAACTAATGCAGGGAAGAGTATGGTTGAATACCATTCGAGCCAGACACTCTTAAAATAAATCAGGTGAGCAACATCCATTCGAGCCAGGCACTGTTAAAATAAATCAGGTGAGCAACAGAAGTAAGAAAGTCTCAATTGATTGTCAGTGTTGAGTTTCCGAGAGTCATGTTGGGAAGCCGTTCCCATGTGTTGCCTACGGACTGGGCACATCGTCGCAAGCCACTCTCCAGGGGCCATGTGCAATTTCACATCGGAGCAAGGTGCTGCAAGGAGTCCGTTGCAGATTAGCCTCGACTCAAAACAGGTAAAACTCAAATTTCTGGAGGAATCCCTTTTTGGGGTTCCATACTGTGGATGGACAAAATCCTGCACCACCTAAGAAACCCCCGAATGATGATTGGCCTGTAAATACCAACAACATTTTTTCCCCCTTGGTTTCAAAGTGGTGCGAAATGGATTTCGCCCATCCACAGTATTGATTGAATCCCTTTTTGGGATTTTGAAATGTGTAGAGGAATCCCTTTGTGCTTTTTGGGGCTCCATGTCGCCACATGAAGCCAGAGTTCCGGATGCAACTGGCCAAGGTCTTTGCTGGTGTCTCAGGTCTTTGCCAGCCCGGATCCCCTGGTCAGACGTCAAACGCGGTTCCTGGATCGCGTTCCTGGTGTAGCATCCAGCTGAAGATGGCTCGCCAGACTCATCATCTAGGTCCCTCAGTAGTGCCCTTTTACCCACTTTTTTGGTTGGGAGGGTTCCCCTACTACAATAGACTACAGAAAAAAGGTATCCTTATTCTACCCTCTCTACTGGAGGACCTAGTGAAATTTTAACACGTAACAGGTCGTTTAATATTATCTAGCTGTGCCTATGCTGATCATCATCATTCTCATGTGTAGACACTCACAATGTGAGCCGGTCTGAGAGCCAGGGCGTTACATTCTCGGCGGAGAGTTTGTTTGTGTTGTGTTGATTCAATCCAAGAACTAGCGGGCCGGGGGATGTATGTGCTTCACGAGGCCGCGCCGATGTTGAGCATGTCAATCTTGGCTCCCAGCCATCCGGTTCCTTCGCCTTTTAGATCCTTTTAGTGTTTGGTGGTAGTTTCCATTTGAGCCACCAAAAGTTGAACGGTTCCTTGGCTTTTTAGATCCTTTTAGTGTTTTTAGTGGTAGTTTTTCCCTTTGACCCACCAAAAGTTCGTCACTTTTAGCGGGGGATCAGAAAACGGGCAGCCCAATGATTGGCAAGGGAGCGGAGCGGAGCACGCGGATGCCGCAGGTTTCGGTGAGACTGTCCTCTTGCATACCCCGCCCAAGCGAGTTTTTTTCTAGGGAGCCCGCGCTTGCGAAGACAAACGAGATGGAGTATTATGTTTTTCCGACCCCGGTCGGGGTTGGCGGTAGCCAGATGGACTATGTTATTTTTTTTGTTTTCTCTGACCCCGGTCGGGGTTGGAGCAGTGGTAGTCGTGGGAGAGCCGGAAGCAGCGCGAAGAGGGCGCCTGAAAGTTCTGGGGCGCGTGTTTCTTTTGCACCTCAGAAATGGCTGGGAGCAGTCCCCCAACTTGGTCCCCCAGCTAGGTGCCCTTTGACCGTTTCTTTTGTGGGGGGAAGGCTCCCCTACTAAAAGAGACTACAGAAAAAGTTGGTGCCCTCATTCTAACCTCTCTGCAGGAGGACCTAGCCAAAGGTCTGGCAGAAGCCAAAAGTATGGCATGTTCCCAGGAGTCATTGCTTCCAGCTAGCTGAGGTCAAGCGTCATCCCATGCTACCCTGAGCACTGACTTCGAGAGGCTGGGGATGCGCCTTGGAGCCCTGGAGGTTTCATTTGCTGAAATGAATGTATATATATATATATATTTGTTTTCCCTTCTTGGTTTCAAAGGGAATCTATCACTACTGGACATATTTTTACTTTTTCCCGGGGGCGTATTCGCAAATGGAAGCTTAGGGTCGTGTAGGGCCATCGCCCAATGGAGCTTTTCTTTAGTTGGATGGCTCCCAAAAACCACATTGCGCTGTTCAAATTTTCAGATTACTCGGCGATGGAGCCATTGGCCAGAGTTGCCGGGGACAGCGCTCAGCGGTATCACTGGAGGGCATACGTGCCTTCTGTTTAAGTGTGTCATTCTCTGAGCAAAA